GAAATGATAACTCAAGATATCAGTACAGTTTCTGCAAAATGATTACAATGACAATATTATTTAAATTTCATACTACAGTCAAAAGTCGTTAATTCGGACACCCATAATCCAGAATGATCTATAATCCGGACCTCAAAGCTAAAAACTTTCTGCGACAGGTGTTTTACGCGTGCGCGTAAGACCTTGACGACTGCGCATATGCCTGTGCGCAAGTGCAGAATACGTTTTCGCCTGCGTGTTTAATGTATAATGGACGGTGTAAGCTAAAATTATCTAATTATCTATTTCAGCTAATGTTAATGATTGCGTTGTTCCTTAATCTTCGAATTGGATCCCTCTTATTATTTTTTGCAGACTGTAAGAGAAATTTTATAAAAGTAAACTTGAACTTTCGATTAGTCAAATAGAATTTCCGATGCTGGAGCTCCCAAAGGATCTACAAAACGAAACTATGTTTCGATGTCCATAAAAAAAAAGTGGAATTGCTGCAAAAAAAATGGATAAAGGCATGTCCGTATCAAAATTATGCAAGGAATATAACATTGGAAAGTCAACTGTATATGACATAAGCAAAAAGAAAAAGGAACTTTTTGATTTTTTTGTGGATTCCAACACCCCACTTGCAATGAATAACAGAAAAAGGGTTCGTTATGCTAAAAGTGACGATCATGACAGAGTGATGATTGAATGGGTCAGACAGCGTCACAGCGAGGACGTGCCATCGACGGGTCCAATAGTAATGGCTCAAGCCAAAATATTTCATGAAGAAATGAACTTAAACGGAGAGTGCACATCTTCGACAGATTGGTTAACAAAATTTTAAAATCGCCATGGTATAAGACAATTAAAAATTTCTGGTGAAAAATCTTCAGCTGATACTGAAGCTGCTGAACAATTTGCAGATGAATTCATTGAATTCATTACTAGTGAACAATTATCTGCAGAACAAATTTACAATGCTGATGAAACTGGTCTTTTCTGGCAATATGTACCACGAAATACCTTGGCAACCTCTACAGAAAAGGCTCCAACTGGTGTCAAAGATTCCAAAGCGAGACTAACAATTTTAGCATGTGCAAATGCTGCAGGAACGCACAAGTGCAAACTTTTCGTAATTGGAAAACATGCATGACCTTGACCGTTTAAAGGAATAACGATTTTCCCTGTTATATATCATGCAAATAAAAGAGCATGGATGACACAAGTATTGATGAATGATTGGTTTAAAAATCATTTTATACCCGAGGCTCGGCGACATTTGAGTTCAGTTGGTTTACCTAATGACTCAAAAATAGTTCTGATTGTTGATAACTGTTCGGCGCATACTTCACTTAAAGTTTTAGTGAAAGATAATGTATCCGTGTTATTCTTTCCTCCAAATTGTACGTCTATCATTCAGCCTATGGATATGGAATAGTGCACGCACTGAAATGCAAATATAAAGCAGCATTTTTAAAATCTATGTTAAATTTCTTGAACAGTGGCAAGACTATTCAAGAATTTTTGAAATTTTTTAGCATGAAATCTGCCGTGTGGAGCATCACAAGATCGTGGGAGGATGTGTCTCCAAGTACGTTAAAAAATGCTTGTCATAATTTATGGCCATCTACCATATTTTATGGTAGGTACCATATTTCATGGAGGAGGATGAAGATGATAGCCGCGTTGAAGGTTTTCGGACATCGCAAACTAAAGGTGAAATTTTTCAGTTATTGGATTTTGTAAAGAAATGTGGAGAAGCGGTAATAAATGAAGATGATATAAGAGAAGTTTTTCATTGCGACGACAATGCCCCAATCATCAATCAATTAACGGATAGCAAAATCTGTAGTATGGTTCTAGATCCAGAAAATATCACTTCCGATAGTTAAGAAAGTGACACAGACGTTATCGAAAACGAAACAATTTCGATTGACAAATTAGTCGGTATTCTCGACACCGCAATTATAGGACTTGAACAGCGGAACTTTGTAACTGAACAAGAAATTATGTCTGTTTATAGAATTAAAGAGAAAGTATTATCACATAAAACGAAGCAACTTAAACAACTTACATTGATAGAAATGTTTAATAAAGTAAACAAATAAATAGTAAGCTTTTTTTTTTTTTTTTTTTTTTTGTAAATTTTGTTACCCTTTAGATAATAATTGTTCTTTATTTCATAAATTACGGTTTCATATTTTTAATTTTAGAATTTCTGCATGCCATCTTACGAGATTTAAACTGATGATCTATAATCCGGAAAAATCGATAATCCGGAATCGCCGAAGTCCCGCCGAGTCCGGATTAACGACTTTTGATTGTATTATAATTAAATAATCTTAGGAAAAATGATATAATAACACTGACAAAAGCAACAAATTCATATCTTTCCACAGATTTAAATGTTAAAATACACAATTCATCTCAAACACAAGACTATTAAAAAGCAAAAACTGAACATATTTGAAGCAATATCCATCTCAAGTATTCATTTGCAATACATCATTCAATACATTCATTTGCAATACATCCTATTCATGTTGTATAAGAATAATTGGTACTATTCTGTTTAGAGGACCGTAAAATATCGGCAAACTATTGTTGATGCCAGTGCTGCCAAAAATAATTGCGGCAACCCTAACACAAGAAAGGAAGTATAATAGTAAATAACTATCTAAAGATTATTGTTTTAATTTAGATGAAAGGTTAATTTCATATAATACTTTATTATTATTATAATTTATATAAAAAAAGGCTAAACATAACTGAATGGAAGCATAAAAGTAAATAATTTCAGATCATTTATTATAATTTATATAAAGAAAAAAGATAAACATAACTGAATGGATTACTACATTGCTTTTTCGCTACCGAGTTATCACTAAAGCATAATTTCATCTCATTGGTTGTTCAAACATAATTTTCTATAATGAAAATGCCTTTTCTTTGAAAAAATTCTCGGTAAAGCGCAGAATCACCCACTTATTTGTTTGGCGTTTTTGTCAATTTTCTTTTACTTTTTAAGTGAAAATAGGTCAATGTGTACATAGATAAAGTCAAGGGTGTGCATAGTGCCATTTTTGTGCAATTCTGGGATTTTTTAAGTGAAAATAGGTCAATGTGTACATGGATACCAAGTATGTGCATTTCTTAAAAACACGTCAAGCAGTGGGTGATTCTGCACTTTGCCCTAAATTCTATTGCAGACATTTCGTCACGGGCAATTCCCAAATTGTTAAATCCATAGGATATCAAAAAAGGAATAAAAAAATGAAACTAGTATTTCAATGGCGGTTACCATAAATAACTTATTCAGCAATGGGTTTACCATAAGTCATATTAAACGCCTAAAGAAAAATCTAAAAAAATCGCGAAAATCTGTGCAACCGTGTACCAAAGTAGCACCAAAAAATTAACTAACTTTCCGTTGAAGACAAAAAATCATGCAAAATTTTTCAATATCTTACAAACAGTGAAATAAGCAAAAAATAACATGAAAGAAACTCAAAAAAACAAAACATTCCTAGCAGAATTTTACTCTGCAGAATAACTTTATCAAAAAAAAAAAAAAAAAATCAATAGAAATGTATTATATATATAAAAAAAATCTGATGTGTACACCACATGACTTCCTAGTATTAGAATATTAAATTATACGCATTTTTTCTTGCATTTCATTTAAACTTATTGGATTGAATTAAATCTACTTGGCCGACAGCGCATAAACCACAATAGAATAAATGCATTCTTTAAAATCCATTCTAGTATTTGTTTACCATAGCGACACTCTGGCGCTAGATTCACTTAACAGTATTAACAATTATATAACAGTTAACTTATATAATAATTATATAATGGAAACTAAGTTAATTGTTATATAATCCAATAATTATATAACAGTTAACGTATATATTTCGTTCATATTGTAACTCATAATGCACAAAATTTATATCATTTAAAGAATAGAATTATCTAATCGTTGCCACACATTCTATTCAAATACTATAATAAAGCTAGAATGATTTATAAAAGAAATTAAGCAAACAAAACAAAAAAGAAATGTTATTTTAAGAAATTCATAGAAGGTGTAGAAGTATGTGCAATTCTTAAAAAACGCACCAAGCAGTAGGTGATTCTGCACTTTCCCGGTCTATTGCAGACTTTTCGTCATGGGCAATTCCTAAATTCTTAAATCCATATGATATCAAAAAGGATTTAAAAATTAAACTAGTATTTCAATGCAGCTTAAAAAATATAGAACTATCGAAACTTACGCAATTTGAAATCAGCGTGTTCCCTAGATTTTGGGCACTGTTAAATGGGCAGGTTTGCTAGATTTGGCGCTTTTGCGCATACATTTTCGGTGCAATTTTTTACGGCCCTCAAAACAGAATAGTACCGAATAATTTTAGGCTATATTTAAATAGTAAAACTTCTTATGTTTATAATATTAGTCAAGGGATAATTATTTATTATTCTGCCTTTAGATTAATATTATTAAAATTTTTTAAAATTTTAATATTGAACTGATTTTAATCTAAAATTTAAGGGGGGGAATGTCAGTAAATAAGAATATAAAAATTTACTTGTCACAGTTGTAATCCTATTTCAGAACAGTAAAATCTCCTCTATTTATTATTTTATCTTTAGATAAACATCACAAACATTAAATAAGTTTTTATATTCATCAATACTCAATTGATTTTAGTTCAAAATTCCCATGCTCACACACAAAGTGTCAAAAAGTTAGAATAGAAAAAAATTAATTATTCGAGTTGCAATCCTATTTTAGAATAATGAATCTTATTTCTTCTAGTTTTTATGTATCAACTTTTTACTTTTTGTCACTAGATTAATATTTTAAATTTTAAAGGCTTAAAATGTGTCAGCACTCAAGTTACCTTAACCTAAAATTTACACAAGCAAAAAGTATCAGTAGGAAAATTTACTTGGAAATTTTATACCATAGGTACCATAGGAATACCATAGGAACCAAAAAATACCATAGGAAAATTTACTTGTCCCAGTTGTAATCCCATTTTATGGAAGGCTCAAAGTTGGTGGTCCAGGATGTCTCCACACACTTTTTCTCAGATTGAAAATAATTAAATATGCCTAAAACAACACCACTGCCAGCAACTGCATAAAACCATTTAGCATTATGTGGCAAAACCATTTTGTCAGAAAGATTATATCCAGTTAGAGTGCAAGCTAAAATTAGAAAAATAAAAAGAATTTGTAACAACTTTAAAATATTTACTTTCAACACATACAATGTGTATAAATGGACACTGTGACAGTATTCACTACTAAAAAAACTAATTTAGTTTTAAATACTTGGCAACACTGTATGCTACTTATTTATAAAATATTCAGCTCTTATATGCAGCCTAAGATCACCAAATCTGGCGATATGCATTCTGCACTGGTTTTTGGTATGACTGCATGTTGTATGGCAACTCTTTTGACGTTGAAAACTCTTTTGCTGGAGTGGTTGAATTGCTCGATGGTTTGTGTCATGCGTGTTTTGAAATGGCCTATGATGCAATGACAGACATGAGTGTCAAGAGGGTCTGGGAGATTATTTTTAGTAACTGTGCATGATAGAATTAAGGAAATGCTGATGCAGTGTATTAAAGAGTGGATTGAGCCTTGTACAACTATTTTTTCATATGGCTGGAAATCTTACAAGGATTTAGGAAAAGAAGGTTTTGAACATTTATAACCATAGTACGAATTTTTTGGATAGCGAGTCTGGCTGTCATATTAAATACTATAGAGAGTATGTGGCAGCATGTTAAAGCTATGTTCTACTGTCCGAAGAAACATCTATTATGGCAAGTGCATTTTATTTTATTGTTTTTATTTTGTAGAATGTTATGTTCATTGTTTTCTTACTATGAATTTCTGTTGGTATTGTTGTTTTTTGAATTATTTGTAATTTATTTTAGTTTATTTGGTACTATTCGGTTTTGAGGGCTGTAAAAAATCGCCAAACTATTGTTGATGCCAATGCTGCCAAAAATAATTGCGGCAACCCTAACGCAAGAAAGGAAGTATAATAGTGATATTTAAGATTGATGCTTTAATTTAGATGAGAAGTTAATTTCATACAGTACTTATTATTATAATTTATATAAAAAAGGCTAAACATAAATGCCCATTTCAGATTTTTATTTTAATTTAGATGAGACGTTAATTTCATATAATTCAATTTTGTATTACTTTATGAAAAAAGGCTAAATATACTTGAAATTAAACGGGTGGCATAATTTTTTTTATGTCTTCAACATAGCAGAAATAAATTTCAGTATTTTTGTGCAAACGTCTGTACATAAACTCGCACAAGTAAGAATCAAAATGCTGTCGAGGTGTGCCCCGATGGCGTTTATTACGCCATTTAGCACTGCCCCACAGCCGCTCTACTGTTTGTTTATGACACCCACTTTTCTGGTCCACAAAATTGTAGTTGTGGTTGACAGTAAAATGTTCAAAACCGGCATCTTGCAGTTCATCTGACTTGTATGATTTCCAGCAGTCAGTATAAATAACGCTTCCTTCTGCGATAATATTATTTATGATGTTCAATAAGGTTTTCACCGATCGATCTGGAACAGTGACTAAGAAACATTCATTTGATTCTCTGCATAATCCGCCGAAAACCCATTGTGGCGGAAGAAAACGTCCAACATTGATCTTTCTTTTACTGAAAAGGCTTTCGTCTACTTCAATAATTTTACCACGTCCGCCAATTTTAGTCTTGGGCCGAGCAGTTAAAGCTGTGACACACACCTCACGCATGTAGTAACTGTTTCAGTCTACAACTGTACAGTGGTTCATCTTGAGCTTGAGTTCACAAAATTCAACAATGTCATTTCCTGACACCAAAAATAGATGAACCTAACGGCTGTAAGGAAGGGGATTTTCAATCCTTCAAACCAATTTTGACTTCTTACTCCTTTCTTCTCATTACAGGTTTCTTTCCTGCACCGTCATTTTGCTACCGAGTTATCGCTAAAGCATAATTTCATCTCATGATTTTTTTTTTTTTTTTTTTTTTTTGAAAAAAATTCTGTTGCAGACTTTTCTTCACTTGCAATTCCCAAATTGTAAAATCCATATCTTTATCAAAAAGAGAATTAAAAAATTAAACTAGTATTTCAATGGCGACTGTGGCGACTCTGTAAACATGTGTTGTACTCGCCAACCGCGCGCCATTATCACTAACTGTAACCGAAGGTGGTTTCGGCGACACACAGTCATGTCTCGTCATCGGTGCGGTTGGTCACTCGCTTTCCTCCAAGATGATTGTCTGTCGACTGTAGTAATTAAGTTTTAATATTGTGATGTGATTAAATGTTTTTGTTATCAAAAATTGGCTCTTATGGCATGTTATGAATTCATCCTTAAAAAGCACTGGCAAATTCCTATACGCATAGTTTGTTGTTGCACACAGCCGCAACCACGTGCAACAAATGGTGACCCGGACGTACATATCCACGTACATATCGTGGATATTTGGTTGGACCCTTACCCCCATCACTAGGTTATACATATCTTCTTACGTGTGTCGACAGATACACACGTTGGCCAGAGGCTATCCCTATTGTAGATATGTCAGCCGACACTGTGGCAAAAACCTTTTTTTCTGTATGGATTTCACAGTTTGGTGTAACCGAGTACGTTACCACGGACCAAGGACGGCAGTTCGAATCTCAATTATTTACTGCATTAACAAAATTCTTGGGAACTAAAAAGATCCATACATCACCGTACCACCCGAATTCCAATGAACTTGTTGAGAGGTTCCATCGCTCTCTTAAACAGGCCATTAGATGCCATACTGCTATTCACTGGGTTGATGTCCTTCCTACTGTGTTGTTAGAACTCAGAACGGCTATCAAAGAGGACCTGGGTTCTTCAAGTGCTGAAATTGTTTATGGTACCAATTTACGTTTACCGGGAGATTTTATAAATCCCGCAAAAAACTCACCCAATGTCCAGCCCCATGTATTCCTCAAACAATTGCATGAAACCATGGCTGCATTATACCCTAAGCCCACAAACATACATTCTTCAAGACCTGTGTTTGTGCTTAAAGAACTCGCTACATCCTCACATGTGTTCTTACGGTGTGATGCATCAAAAAAGTCCTTGGAGCCTACCTAAACAGGCCCACACCTAGTTCTAAGTCGCACATCCAAGAACTATCGGATACTAATCGGCGACAAAGAGACAGTGGTGAGCCTTGATCGTCTCAAATTAACCTTTATCTTAGCACCACAAACTGTCGAGACTGGTACATCAGTCCCACCTTCTTCGAAGGCACCTTCATCTATTGGGTCTACACCAACATCTGCTACTACGTCAGTTCCTGTGCCTGGATCCCAGAAAACAAGGTGCTCCTCAGTATACACGTTCCGGACGTAGAGTCCGATTTAACCCTTGGTACCTTTAATTCGTTGCCACTGGAGGGGGAGTACTGTGGCGACTCTGTAAACATGTGTTGTACTCACCAACCGCGTGCCGTTATCACTAACTGTAACCGAAGGTGGTTTCGGCGACACACAGTCACGTCTCGTCATCGGTGCAGTTGGTCACTCGCTTTCCTCCAACATGATTGTCTGTCGACTATAGTAATTAAGTTTTAATATTGTGATGTGATTAAATGTTTTTGTTATCAAAAATTGGCTCTTATGGCATGTTATGAATTCATCCTTAAAAGCACTGGCAAATTCCAATACGCATAGTTTGTTGTTGCACACAGCCGCAACCACGTGCAACAGCGACTTACAAATATAGAACTATCTAATACTTACGCAATTTGAAATCGTCATGTTCGCGAGATTTGGCGTGCTGTTTAATGGGCGAGTTTGCTAGACTTGGTGCTTTTGCGCATGCATTTTCGCTGCAATTTTTTACGGTCCCCGAAACCGAATTGTACCGTTTATTTTGTTGATTTTTGCGCAATGCCTAGATTGTGCAATTCGTAGATGCTTTATCAAGTTTAAACAGAATGCTGTGTACATGGTATTCTCTGAAATTTATTGTTGTTATGTTAATTTATTAAAGTGAGGTGTGCGTAGTTCATATATGTGTTTGTTGCCTAGATTGTGCAATTCATAGATGTTTTTTTAAATTGAAACATACCGCTGTGTACATGGATTCTTGTCAAATATTTTTGGTTAGAAACTTTACGTTTGTGCTATCTAAATTTTTTTGTTTTTGTTTCGGATTTTTAGCTTAAATTGTGTGTTCAAAATGTGGTTTTTGCATGTGCAAAACTGAATTTTTGGAGACATTTCAGGTTTAAAGTTTGAAATGTAGACAAAAAATTTAGATAGTAATATGGCACTGTGGAGTTTCTCACCAAAAAATATTTGGTGAGAAAGTGGACGAACTGAGGGCGCATATAAGAATTTTTCCAAATATTCATTTGGAGTTTCTCATATTTGGAAATGGTATTTAGATATTCGGTTAATCTTTGGATTATGGTAATTTGGCGACCAACCCTGCTACAGGAACCTGCTAGGTGCTACTTTGGTAGACGGTTGCACGGATTTTGGCGATTTTCCTTTGGCGAGTAATACAACTTATAGTAAACCCATTGCTGGATAAGTTATTTATGGTAACCGATACTTTGTTGTCATTTTATTTAAAAAATAATACGTTTTATTGTGCATAAGTTTCGTGTTTAAAATATTATTTATGGCTTTTAAATATTAAAAATCAATTTAATTTTGCATTTTTATTTGAAATAAAAATTTTATTGTTTATCATAATTTATGAAATTTTATGTTATGGATGATGTAATCAATGATGTCACCTTACTTTAAAAGTAATTGTTTTAATATGTATAAATTTAATCTAATGTTTTAAACATTATTTATGGCTGTTAAATATTAAAATACAATTTAATTTTGCAGTTTTTTTGGAAAATGATTTTATTATGCATGATTATTTAAATAATTGTAATTCTAGCCGTGATATGTAATAAGCTCTCTGATTGATTAGAGAATATTTGTGAATTAACGAGCTGTAATCAGCTCCCTGATTGGTTACTGACATATCTGTGCATTACCGCTCCCGCGCCATTTTAAAATTTAATTCTATCTTCGAATTCCTTCAAAGATGTTATCTAAATTATGATTCTGATTTTTTTTGTGGGTACTTATCAATAAACAACAGGTTAAATACTCAAAAAAATGTAAGTACATATTTTCTTTTATTTTATAATTGTATACTTCAATTTTGTTAAAAAATTAATACTCTATTTCAGAAATTGCTGAGATAATTATTTTCCATATGTTTAATGTTAATTTATTCTATATAACGTATTTTAAAAGTATTTGAATTTAATAATATTCTAATTCTTTTAAATGTTGGTATGATGGTTTGGTTTTTAATTCGATATTCAATTTCAGTAATATTTTAATCTAATTAAACATTGGCCCAATGTTTTTATTCTCTCTTTGCTATATGAAAGTAATAATAACCTACTTTAGTATTTTATACTCATAGTAAATGTATTTATTTACATTTGCCTGCCATCTTAAAAAACGACATTTTCAACAAAAAATTAATCCATTACTTTGAATGATATTTATTTTTTTAAAAAGTTTCGACTACTTTACTATGCATAAAAACAGCGTTTTCCAAGATGGCTGACGTTTGTAAAAATCGCGCCAACAATTCCGCCAACGTAAATCGCCAAAAATCCGTGCAACCGTCTACCAAAGTAGCACCACCTGCTAGTTTTTATTGCACGACATTTTGTTTTTCACAAAGTAAAGGCATTTTTTTTTTTAACTCAACATTTTTTTCCAACAATCTGCTAGCCGAATTACGCTTATGCTAGAACTTTTATGGAACAAAAGTGCTCATTCATGACGAAGATTAGGTGCGAAATTGGGAGAAAGTGCAGAATCACCCACTGCTTGCCGCGTTTTTAAGAATTGCACATTGGGAGAAAGTGCAGAATCGCCCACTTCTTGCCGCGTTTTTAAGAATTGCACATACACGGTATCATCCATGTACACGTCGACCTGTTTTCACTTTAAAAAAAATCCCGGAATTGCACAAAAATGGCATTGCGCACACTCTTGACTTAACCCATGTACACTGCTAAAGTCGTCCTAACTAGTAACCTTTATCGCCTTGCCAAAATGTCGCCAAAATACCTGTTACCATATTCCAAAGATTAGCCAGATATTCCTCTTGTGAATTTTCAGTTAATCTTTGAATTATGGTAACTTGGGGATTTTTTGGCGACCAACCCTGCTACAGCAACCTGCTAGTTGGGTTTATTTATTTTTTATTTTTTTTTTTTGACGCCATTTTATTTTTACGAAGTAAAGGTATGTTTCATTTTTTTTTTTTAACACAACATTTTTTCCAATAATTTGCTAGCCGAAGTACGCTTATGCTAGAACTTTTATGAAACAAAAGTGCTTAATCATGACGAAGATTAGGTGCGAAATTGGACAAAAAAAAAAAAGGCAGTGCAGAATCACCCATGCTTGCCGCGTTTTTTAAGAATTGCACATACACGGTATCATCCATGTACACGTCGACCTATTTTCACTTAAAAAAACATCACAGAATTGCACAAAAATGGGATTGAGCACACTCTTGACTTTATCCATGTACACTGCTAAAGTCCTAACTAGTAACCTTTATCGCCTTACCAAAATGTCGCCAAACTACCTGTTACCATATTCAAAAGATTAGCCAAATTTTCTTCAATTAAATTTTTTTATTTCTAAGGTTTAATTTGGAAATATTTAATGTTTAAAAGTAACAGTATAGAAATATACACTTAACATGCAGCATAATGTAACAGCAAATGTTTCTGATATAATGTTCAAAATACTAATTAAACAGTTCTTATAAATTAAACAGCCAACATAAAAATACAGAATTATCATAGTATAGGCATGTAGACAGAAGAGTGATATTTATATGTGTATATATCTATATATACACTAGTAATAAAAAAATGCTCTTCAAAAACAATTTCTTTACCTGATCCTTCAATTAATTTTCGAATCAATTTAATAACTTACAACCCTTAATTAAAAAAAAATATTAGAAGCTACGCAGTATATAATATATCTGCACACTGTTTCAAAATTTATTAAGGGATATAAAAATTAATACAATTAGTTTTATCAAATAATAATCTAAGTTTTATGATTATTGTAATCAGAAATTTTAAACATCACATTTATTAACAGAAAAGATAAAAATACACGTATCTATCGAGATACGTAACAAGATAAGACAAAATTCGGATATCCTTCCATACAATAGTTTTAAATATTCTTAATTTACACGCCACAATACGACTACAAATATAAGGATATATAAAGAATATTTAGGCTTCTATTACTAAGAAACAACTACTACCTTCGTATTTAAAAATTTTAATATGATGTAGTATCATACTGTACCAGAAATTTTAGTCCAAAGTATTCGAACGCACGGTATAAACACACTTTGACAATCGTTTACTTTCACGTGTTGTTATGAGATGTAAACACCGGTCACGGTTATACTCCGGTGTACTTCGTGTAACCGTGACGGTGACCGGTTATACTCGGGAGCACGGAGTATAATGAAGGAGGTGAAACTGCCTAGTAGAAAAACGGGTCCTAAAATGTCGCGTTCACAAGATGGCGCTGTTGTTCCATCTTAGTAGTTCCAAATGTAAACATTTATCGAGTAGCCAGGCGGCGAAGCTTACTACCGAACGAAAAATGTTTATGTTTTTAATGTCATGGATTGCGTTATTATCAACGTTATAATATTCTGCTCACTAATGATTGTATTTTATTCCTCAAATTATAAAATTAATTTACAGCTTTCATGCTGTAAGGCTTGTAGTACTTTTTATGAATGACTAATTTAATGATTATTTTTCAGTCCCTCCCCCTTAGAAAAATAATCATATTACTAGTAATAATACTTGCTGTATATATGTTAAATGTAATTAGAATAGTTTCTTCGCGTCTCTCATTTTGTAAAATGCTTAGATACACAGCTTGATATAAACTGTGACGAAATTTTAATGAAGCTTATAGAATTTTTTGCTTCAGTCAGTAAATTTTCTGTACTATCAAATAAAGTTATTCTTTTTATGAATCAGATGTCAGTTTTGATTTTGATATTTTATCGTTTTCTGTTAAAAATATCTTTGTTTTTGAGAAGTATGTTTCAAAATGATTTCAAAAGATTTTTTAAATAGAATTCTGATTTGAATTCAGTTAAGTATCTGAACACTTGGTTATGCTGAACTATATTATTCATAATTAAATATAAAGAGTATCTTTAATTTTGTCCTGCTTGCACTAACTTCTAACCAATAAATGCAGTATTTTAAATTTAAAAAAAATAATGCAGATCTTATCTTTAATTTTGTCCTGCTTGAACTAACTTCTAACCAATAGATGCAGTATTTGAACTAAAAAATATAATGTAGATCTTTTGTATTTTAAAAGTACATGTGCTAATCTCTCTTCCTACAAAAGATATGTATGCAGACATTAAGCTGTTGGCCATGATTAAATTACCTACAATAGTGTCTCATTGCCTACAGTAGTGTGTCTGTGTGTGTGTGCGTTTTCTGAAATTAAGTGTAGTTAATAATTTTTCAAAGTAAATCATTCTATCCCATTCAACAGCCTAAAAGATGAATTTCTTATGATTCAGAACAAATTTTATTCACAGTTATAATGAGATGATATTATCTCACTGTTAAGTTTCAAATTAGTACATGTAGCTCTTTTCAAAAAAAAAAAAAAAATGTTTTGCATGTGTTATCCTTTACTGGAAAAGATCCCATATTTTTTATTTTCATTTATTGAACTGATTATTTACTAATCGAGTCTAATTACATTTGTTGCAAAACTACCAGTTTAATATCAGAATACCTAATATATGCTTACTGCGGTATTTAAAAAAATATCATTTAACTATGTGAAACTAAAGTTCGTTGTCTGTTGCAGTAATTATTTACTTTTTTATTCACAATTTAATATCTCTTTTTCAACGATTAAAGACTCACAGTGAAAGAAATAAGTTCAATAAATAACCCAAAAATTTAACTGCTTAAGACGTCTTTACACAAATTTAATAATCGCTCGAAACAATGTTTAAGCACGTATTGTTACTCAATATTGTTACACAATTTGGTGAGCCAAAGGAGTGCTTAAGACGTGATTCATTAAGATTTGTGTTCAATTTGCAAGCACCTGGTGTTCTTTCCCACCAGCAGTTGAGCAGCAAAAGTCACCAAATACTGCTAGTTTGGTCCTGGGTTCGAATCCCGCCAACAGGCTAGCTGCATGGGCATTTCCCTGGTCTTTCCATGTGAAATATAAAAAAGTACATGTGCTCTTTTCCTCCAAAGGATCCGTATGAAGACATTGAACTGTTGGCCATGGTTAAATTATATATTACTCTCGTTACCTACAATAGTGTTCCCCCTCCCTGAAATTAAGTGTAGTTAATAAGTTTTCAAAGTCATTCTATCCCATTCAACAGCCTAAAAGATGACTTTCTTATGTTCAGAAAAATTTTA